AATACAAGCAAGTTCATTTGGTTCATCGTCGTCTTGGGAGCTTTTACATTTTCAAAATTGTCCGAGAGGTGTTCTTCAGTGTCTTCTTTTGTGTCTGGATGACAGATTATAATGCACAAGTACACTGCCTCAGACTGATCAGCTCCTGTTAAGGGCTTTGGCGCTTGTTGTTCTCTTGTTTTGTTTGTTTGTTTTTCTTGTTTTTCTTGTTTTTTTGTTTGTTTGTTTCCTCAATGTGACTGTGACGAAACCTTCATCTTCAGCATCTCGTTCTGCTCTCTCTGAGCGGATGTTGATCTCGATTACCGGGACCATTAGAGCTGGGTGCACATGGTGATGACTTGTGTACATATTCGATTTTCTTGTTGACTTATGGGCTGTTCAAGGACTGCTGAGGTGTTTTGGTCCTCGGGGGGCTGACGGATCATCAAAGGCGGGGAGACAGAGAGATAGGTGGGAGGGGAATGGAGCTGGGAGGGTTACTGGACACGGGTAAAGCAGACAGGGGAGGTAGGGAGGGGGATTCTTCGGTAGAGGACATTCTGATAGGGGAAGGAGATGCAAATGCTATGTTCCGCGCTACCGGTTGGCCCGTGTTCTTGGGCAGAGGTCCCAATACTCTGGGAAGGGAGCTCGATACCTTGTATTAAAGCTCCCCTTTTACTCTGTAGATAAGAGTCTGTGTTACCTGAACAAGAGAGCATCAGGGGAGCTTCCTGGTTGGCCCTTTGACCCAGGAGGTAGCCAGATTTCCCTCCGACGTTACGGGACCACGAAATGCCATGGCTTGCGGAGTTGTTTGGCTGAGGCGGAGAGGAGGCGAGGACACGTCCAGTCACTGCGGCAGATAGACTCACTGAGAGGGGGGGGGGGGGGGAGATAGATAGATAGATAGAGAGAGTGAGTGAGTGAGAGAGGGAGAGAGAGAGAGAGAAAGACAGACGGAGTAAGAGAAGGAGGGAGGGAGAGAGAGAGTAATAGAGGGAAGGAGGGGGAGAGAGAGAGAGAGAGAGAGATAAGGAGAGTGATAGGAGAGTGATAGAGGGGGGGTAGGGAGGGATGGAGGAAGAGAAAGAGAGAGATAACGGATCTTCACGCTCAGTTCCCTCGCCTGTCTGTCTATATGAATACATAAATGTCTGTCTGGTCTTTTTCTGTGTTTGTCTGGCTGGATGCCTTCAGCCGGGGAGAGAGTGAGAGATTGAGAGAGAGAGAGAGAGAGGAAGCGAAAGTCCATGGTTACTCACATAGCTGTCTGCGAAGTCCGTTGCCTGTCTGTCAGTCTGGTCAGCTGTACTCGCCTCGTAGCCCGTGCTCGGATGTCTGTTTAGCTGGACTCCCTATCTGTCTTTTTCTCTGTCTGTCTGTGCATGTTTGTCTGGTGATAATGTATGTGTGTCTATGTGGAATGAAGGGTTTTCTTAAGGAACTGACTATGTTTTGTCTTTGAGTATTTCTCCTCTTCCTCCTCCTCTTCTTCCGCTTCTTCCTCCATCTACTCCTCCCTCTCCCACTTCTCCTTCTTATTCTTATTCTTCTACTTTTTCTTCTTTTTTTTCTCCTTTTTCTTCTTCATCTTCTCCTCCTCCTCCTTTTTCTTCCTCTTCTTATCTTTATTTAATTACTAATGTTCTGTGTTTCTCTTTCATTGTGTTTTGAATTGAACTGTTGAACTCTGTCTGTCCACCTGTCTTTTTGTACTCTATCTATCTATCTATCTATCTCTCTGTCTATCTTCATCTCTCTCTCTCTCTCTATCTTCATCTCTCTCTCTCTCTCTCTCTCTCTCTCTCTCTCTCTCTCTCTCTCTCTCTCTCTCTCTTCATCTCTCTCTCTCTCTCTCTCTCTCTCTCTCTCTCTCCCTCTCTCTCTCTCTCTCTCTTCATCTCTCTCTCTCTCTCTCTCTCTCTCTCTCTCTCTCTCTCACTTCCTCAATCTCTTGATATGCCTCGAAAGACATAAATTAGACTTAAAGTAAATCGATGACTGCATAAATAGTAAACACATTGATGAGCAGACAATAAAAACAATAAATATAAAGAAATAAAGAAAATTATTAATAATGAAATAGACAGTCAAGTGGATACAACAAAAGTTAATTTGTCTGAAAGCGCGCGAATTAAAACGAAGAGAGTTTAATGAGTTTATTGTTATCATTATTAGTATTATCATTATTTTCAAAATACTTTCATTGATTCTCATTCGTTCCTTTTCAATCGCCTATATAACACATTCTCATATAAATTCATGTAACATACAGACAGTAATTCACACACACAAGTGTCAGATCATCTTGGTTTGTAATTACTAACATTTCCTCTCTTAATGAATCAGCTATGCCGATTTCCTTATTAAATTAATTACTGCTCTTTGATATCGAGTTTTTTTTTTTCATCAGGTTTCGATTCCATGATTAAGATTCCTTTTTTTCCTTATTTTAGTAACGAATACTAAGAAAGGAGTTTCGAATCCTCTTGCTTCGTTTATAATTGAATCCCTT